CCCCCCTGTCTTCAACCTGCTACGGTTGGTTTCTTGGCCTCGTGACGGCATTGTTCAAGTTGTTTTGTTTTCTTTTCTTTTGTTTGGTTTGTAATTTTCTTTAGGAAGGAAACAGAAAATGATGTCATGTAAAATGAAGCTGGAAAAGCTTGTTGTGTTTGTTTCTGTATACCAGCATCTGTGATGGAGTAGTTAGTCCCCGTGACCCGGCTTGCAAGAGACGTGGGTTCCATATTAACCCATGGACTGTCTCTATCTTTGTGGCGGGAGTTTCCCTGTATACGATGATAGACTGCAAGCAGCTCACTTCCTCAATGGTTTAAATTCTGTCGACAGGGGCGTAAAACAATCACACTAACAGTGGTGTGTGAGGCCAACAGTTCTAAGCAATTCCTTTAACAAAAGAAACTCCCCAAAGCTAGTCTGTCCGGAGATTGTTGGAGTCATCTAGATGTCGGGGGGGTTGAGGCGGTGGTAGAGATCGGTTTTTTTTTTTGCATCCCCGCCTGCTGCACTTGTTGGTCACGTGATGTGTTCCCCTTTCTCCAACACCTGGCTTATCTTCGTGTTGTCCACCCCCACCCCCTTCCCGATGTGATGTGTTGTCCCGCTGTGTGATGGGATGTGTGTTGTCCTGCTGTGTGATGGGATGTGTGTTGTCCCGCTGTGTGATGGGATGTGTGTTGTCCTGCTGTGTGATGGGATGTGTGTTGTCCTGCTGTGTGATGGGATGTGTTGTCCCGCTATGTGATGTTTTCATGTGATATGCCACCCCCACCCCTTCCCCCCTGTGTGATGTGATGTAATATGCCCCCCCCCCCCCCATGCGATGTGACATGAACACAAGTTCTATGCAAACAGCTGGGAGCCTGGTCCGCGCAGTGTGTGGTGAGAGAGGAAGTGGGGACACAGCACACACGCTCCACGGTCGTCAACTGCCGCGGCCGCTTGGTCTGGGTGCTTCTTAGAGTGGCCATGTACAGCTGGCCTATAGGGTGGCCCATAGAGTGGCCCTGTACGGATGGCCCCTTGAGTGGCCCTGTACTGATGACCCTTAGAATGGCCCTGTACGGATGGACCAGAGTGGCCCTGTACGGATGGCCCATAGAGTGGCCCTGTACGGATGGCCCATAGAGTGGCCCTGTACGGATGGCCCATAGAGTGGCCCTGTACGGATGGCCCTTAGAGTGGCCCTGTACTGATGGCCCAAAGAGTGGCCCTGTACGGATGGCCCATAAAGTGGCCCTGTACGGATGGCCCATAGAGTGGCCCTGTACGGATGGCCCTTAGAGTGGCCCTGTACTGATGGCCCAAAGAGTGGCCCTGTACGGATGGCCCATAAAGTGGCCCTGTACGGATGGCCCATAGAGTGGCCCTGTACGGATGGCCCATAGAGTGGCCCTGTAGGGATGGCCCATAGAGTGGCCCTGTAGGGATGGCCCTGTACGGATGGCCCGATGTCCCTACAGGTATGAAGTGAACAAGTCTGGATTTGATCGCAGACTTTGGTTTTTCTCTTTCACTTTTGTCACCGGATTTGTTTTGTTTTGTTAGTTGATGTTGGAGCGAGGTTCTGAAGGGGAGCCCCTGGGCGCGCTCTGAGAGGGACGCTGCCCTGTTTGTTTGTTTTCCAGTGTTTGGCTTGCGTTGTCTGTGTGAGCTGTTGTCACGTCCCGCTAGTGGGCGTGTGTGGGCGGGGCCAGGGGGCCGGACCACTGGTCGGCCCCGCCCTCTCCCCGGGACTACTACTATTACTATCATAGTATTTATTATCTACGTTGTTTTAGGGTTTGCCATTTAGATCTAAAAGTAATAGAAAGTTTGATTCAAATAAAGTGTGATATCTTGGAAACTTTACGTGCTTGGCTTGAGGAATTTTTCAGCGTACTGTGTGTTTGTCGTTGTTTTGTGTGTGTGTGTGTCTGTCTGTCTGTGTCTGTCTGTCTGTCTCTTTTTCTTTCTTTCTCTTCCTCTCTCTCTCTCTCTCTCTTCCCCTCTCTCTCTCTCTCTCTCTCTCTCTCTCTCTCTCTCTCTCTCTCTCTCTCTCTCCCTCTCTCTCTCTCTCTCTCTATTTATCTATCTATCTATCTTTTAGTTTTTGTAAGGTTTTGCGAGCGCTCGCAACTGCATAAAGTCATACGAACCCCAAGGGGTGGATGTCAACAGAGAAGTCCTTACAGGGAATCAGGCTTTCTCTGTTCACCTCTCTAGCTTCAACAACACAAAGTCTGCTTCGACTATCAAGGCACCCCGGAAATAGCAGTTCACAAGGGTGTGACAAACATACAGAAGAAGTAGAGGAAAATGACGATAGTACGGATGAGGAAAGAAAAAGCAGCAGTTCCCCCTATGTTGTTCCAGCACAGAATGAGCGTGACTTTGCTCAATCCGCCCATCGACAATTCTACTGTTCATAAGAACATGTGAACATTTCCCCCCACCCCTTTTGGGAATGGTCCAGGAATGTTTCTGTCGGCTCCTGCCGCCTGCCTGGTCAACTGCCTATACGGTGGTCAGCAGATCAATTCCTGGCGCAACTTCTCAAATATCTCTTTGACGGGATAGCCAGTGTCACACATACTTTGCACAGCAGTTTGTATCGATTTGTTTCAACATAAT